CACCGTGTCCCCGCCCGCAGGTGCCTGGTGAAGTGGCTGGAGGTGCGCTGCGTGTGCCCCATGTGCAACAAGCCCATGGCTGCTCCGGCACAGCCCCGCGCTGGCATCGGGACCCTCCTGGACGAGCTGGTGTGAGCCAGTCCTGCTCCAGACCGGCCTCATCCCGTGGGATGCGTCGTGGGATTGTGGGATCGCAGCTCCACACACGCAGCATTGCCCCCCCTGGGGCCGCACGGCTCATCCCGAATCTCCCAGCTGGGGTTTTTAACTGGGGGGGTCGTGGCTCTGGTTGGGGTTTTGCATTGTCCCCCCTGTCCACACAGAGCCGGGACCGCCCTGTGGGGAGCTGAGCCCTCCACAGGGTCGGGGAGGGGGATGTCGTGTCCTCCCCCCACCCCAACTTTGCTGCACAGAGTATTTTTGTACCTGTTCCCCCCCACACACACACCCTTCGGGGGGCGTGGAGGGAATGTACAGTTTTGTGTAAAAAATTATTAAATGGTGATTTCTCAGCCGGTCTGAGCTGTGGGGGCTGTGGGGCCGTTTGGGGGGAGTCAGGGGGGGATGCTGAGACACTTCAGGGGGGCCCAAGAAAGCTCAAGGGGTGGGCCGAGGACCCGCAGGAGCCACAGGGGCATTTTGGGGGACCCCAAAAAAAAGCCCATGGGGGGATGCTGAGACACCCCCCCCCCCCCAGTGCCACAGGGGGCATAAGCACAGCCCACAAGCTGAGCCCCCCTCCCCTGCCCCCCAAGTTTGCCCATTTCCACTGGTTCTTGACACCTCTATGTGGTGATGACATCAGCAGTGACATCACAGGGACCCCCCAGCACCCCCTTCAATTTGCCCCATTTCCACTGATTTTTGACATCTCCAAGCTTTGACCACGCCAGCAATGACGTCATTGCCGCCCCCCGTTTCCTGTATTACTATTTTTAACATTACCATTGTAAATATGACGTCATTGCTGACGTCAGGACCCCCCGGCCGTCAGAAGGGACTGTGCGATGTCGTAACTGAGGGCGCACACGTCACGCAGGCGCGTGTCCATCCCATTCATCATGGTTATGAACCGGAAGGATCGGGCGCGGGTTTCCCGCGCTCAGACCTACCGCCGCACCACTTCTATCAAAGTCAGGGCGACCTCAAGGTCTGTAGTTCTCCCCTCGCACCGACACAGTGTGCTCCGCGCCACCGATCTGTCCCCTCGTATCCCCCCGTTTCGCCCTTTTCGCCCCGCACCGCCCCTCCTTCCCCGCATTTTCGCCGCTAATTATCCATGATAATTTATTCTCGCGGCGCCACGCCCCCCCCCACACGCGCGCCGGCTTTACGGCCAGCGGGGTGTTTTGCGACAGTTCGAACCCCGGGTGCGGGAGGCGCTGAGGGGACCGGGGGTCTCTGAGGGGTTTTCGGGGTCTCTGAGGGTCTCTCGGGGGTCTCCGCGCCCCGGAAGGCGCTGCTGCCGGCAGCGATGTGTCTTTAGCGCGGTTTTAGGGCGCGGGAGGCGCTGCCGGGTCGCGCCATGGATGTCGGTGGCCTGAGGCCGGAGGGGGGTCCCGAGCAGCAGCCGCCGCCCCCCTCGGTCCCCTCGGCCGAGCAGGTGCTGCTGCAGGCCCGGCTGTCGCTGTCCGATGGCCCCGGAGCCCTCAGGGAGCTGCTGGAGGCGGCGGACCCGCGGTGGCTCCTCCTGGGGCCCGGCAGCCCCGCGGCGCTGGGCGAGCTGGCGGCGGCGCTGGGCGAGTCCGCGGCCCCCCCCGGGGCGGGAGCGGGACGGAGCGGAGCCCCCCGGCCGGGACAGGGAGCACGCTGCTGCGGCAGAGAGGGCACAGCAGGTGGGCGCCGTGTTTGCGCTCCTGCTGAAGAAGCTGGAGGATGCCAGGAGCCAGGAATGCCCCGGGGCGCCCGCGGCGGGTCCCGCGCTGCGCCGTGTGCTGGGACACATCTTCGTCTTCGCTGTCACACACCTCGAGGAGCGGCCCTGGACCACCGAGGGGAGCCGGGCGGTGGCCCGGGAGCTGCTGGAGACGCTGGTCCGGGCCGCGGGCTGCGCGTCCGTGGCTGAATTCCTGCGGGGAAAGGATGAGGATGAGGAAGGAAGGTTTGGAGCCGTGATGGGGCTCCTGAAACAGGAGTTAACCAAGTGAGTACGGAGGGGAGGGAACGGACTGTTTGGATGACTGTGTGGGGAATGCTGGAAGCCTTTGGGGAACTGAGCTCAGGCGTTACAAACATTATTTATTTACCCCCTTTATATCTTATATCTATTAATTAATAAATAAAACACATGATAAGAGGCCAGGAGCTTTGCAAATGCCCAGTAATGGAAGATGTTGGGGAGGATCTGTCCAGGTTTGCTGTCAGCTGGTCCCAGTGCCCAGGAAAGCAGTGCTGGTTATTCCCAGTGTTCCCTGAGCTGGTGTTTGTGACTCCAGGGACAGGTGGAAGCGCAACCCTGCCACCAAACACGTGTTCTGCTGGACGCTGCCCCACGTCACCCGGCCCTGGCTGGGCCCTCACCTGGAGCGGGTCCTGCCGCCCTCACTGCTCATCTCTGACGACTTCCAGGAGGAGAACAAAGTGCTGGGAGTGCAGTGCCTGCACCACATCGTCCTCAACGTGGTGAGGGAGGGGAGACTTCAGATCCCCTTTGTGTGTTATTTGAAGGAAGGGTCAGTCACAGAATGCCCTGAGCTTGAAGGGACCCACATTGATCCCATTCCTGGCCCTGCACAGACACCCCAGCAATCCCACCTGTCCCTCAGAGCGTTGTCCAAACACTCCTTGAGCTCTGGCAGCCTTGGGGCTGTGACCAAACCCTGGGGAGCCTGTTCAGTGCCCCACCACCCTCTGGGAGAAAAATCTTTTCCTGATCTCCAACCTAACCCTGCTCCAGCCATTCCCTCAGGTGGGTTGGACTCCTGTTAGGACTCCTAACTTCTTTTCCTGGTTCTGCTGTTAACCAGCAGTTCTGCCCTCTCTTCCACGCTGTCCCCGTGTGGTTAAACCTGTGCAGTTCTTACATCTGTAACCCAAAGCAGAGAACTGCTTTGCCACATCTCAGCCAATTCACACCCCAACCCCACAGCAGCAAGTGTTGCCAGTGGAACTGCACAACAGCAGCTGGGGAGCTGAAATAAGGTGAAGGAAGTGGCTGCTTCTGAGGGTGGCAGCATTTAACCTGCATTTACAGCACCTGTGTGCAGAGTTCTTCGTGCCCAGGGTGCCCCAGGGCTTGGGAGGGCTGTGCTCTTTCCTTAGGCTGTGACTGGATGTGGTGCCCAGGACTAACCCCCCGCTCTGTGTTGTTGCAGCCGGGTGCGGATCTGTGCCAGTTCAACAGGGCCCAGGTGGTGTTCCATGCCCTCTACAACCACCTCTACTCCCGGGAGGCTCCTCTCGTCCAGGTAGGACACCAGAGCTTGGTTTTCATCTGCCCTGTGGAGGTGTTGATCTGCCCCACTGGAGCTCAGGGCAGGAGGAGGCAGAGCCTCTTCCCTCTCACAGCCCACTCGGGCTGGACCAGGATTGCCCAGCTCCGCTGTCTGTCCCCAAACCAGGCAGTGCTGCTGTGCCTGCTGGACCTGCTGCCCATCCTGGAGCGATCCCAGCGGCACCAGGGGCACCAGGGCCAGGTGAGACCCCGCTCCCAGTGCGACGAGGTGCTGCAGCTGGTCCTGACACACATGGAGGGGGAGCATCGGCTGGCGCTCAGGAGGGTCTATGGGGGGATCCTGCCTGCCTTCATCAGGAGGTGAGAGCTCCCTGGGCACCCTGCCCTCGCTGGGGAGGGGAGAGGAACCAGATGTGCCTTGGTGAGGAGGGGAGAGCAGAGGGGAGAGCAGCGACCCCACGGGGATCCAAGGGTCTCCTCCCCCCTCAGGCCGTGTCTGTGCCTGCAGACTCGGCATCCTGGTGGTGCAGCACCTGAAGAGGCTGGAGCGAGTCATCCTGGGCTACCTGGAGGTCTCTGATGGCCCTGAGGAAGAAGCCAGACTGGCAATACTGGAGACACTGCAGTGCACCATAGAGCACGCCTGGCCCAGGTACCTCTCGGGGGTGACAGGCACTGTGCACAGAAAACCTGGCCTGACACAAACCCTGGCCTGAGTGTTTCCACTTAGAGGGCCAAAGTTACTGCTGCTTGAGGAACAGGCCCTGGAATCCTAAGGATTTGTCCCAGGGAGGAATCACTGGCATTGCTGCTTGGCTGAAAAATCTGGCCCAAAAATTAAGCCAAGTCCTCGTTTTGATCCAACTTGTTCCTGTTCTGGAAGCATCAGCTTGGCTATAAATTAAATCCCTGTGGAGTGAGCCCTGTGCTGTGAATCAGGCTGTGCAGTGACAGCATTCCTGACACTCCATCCCAAGGTTACCTGTGTGTCCAGGTCTGTCCCCTCCTGGCACACTGGCCTTAGGCAGCTCCCAGGAACTGCTCAGCAGAGCTGTGCTTCCCCCTGGCTGGGGCAGGCTTTGGGATGAGGTGTGGTGCTGTTCTCCCTGGCAGGATGCCCTGCAGGCTCCCCGTGCTCCTCAAAGCCCTGCTGAGGCTCATCTGGGATGTTCACACGGACCCGGGCCCGACGCCGGAGCCCGTCAGAGCCGCCCTGCTCCAAAGGGCCACCCAGTGCCTCATCCTGCTGGATCACTGCTCCAGAGGGCAGGTGAAGGTGAGTCAGGGGCTCAGCACCTGAGGAGGGGCAGTGTGGGGTGTGCAGGTGCCCAGTTCCTTCCTCAAGCATCAATGATGGGTGACTCCACACCTATCGACAGGTATCGAGCCATGCTCTGTGCAGCTCTCTCCCAGCAGAGCTGGGGGAGGGTTGGTAACACCATAAAGCCCACTGGGAATCTTTTTCCAGAGCCAAGGCACCAGGAATGATGCTGTTGTTGTTGCAGGTGCTGCTGGAAGGGGTGTACAGCAGCTGTGAGGAGAACCGGGTGCGGGAATGCATCAGGAAGGTGCAGGAGAGCACGTGAGGAGGCTGACAGCACCCACCCCAATTTTGTACAGTAAAACTGGTTTATTTATTTAAAGTTACTGTCTGTCTTGTCCCACCTGTTGGCCCCATACCTGCCACGTCCCCCAAAATACACGTGTGTACTCCCTGGGCCACGTGTGGCTTCTCCAGCCATGGAGAGCCCAAAGCAGCAGTGACCCCCAGGCCAGGTCCTGTCATGGAGCACAGGCCAAGCTGAGCTTTTTTTGGCTGTAGAGAAGGTGGGGGATCTTCTTCCTTACAACTGTGCTTCATCCAGTTGTACAAACTTGCTGCCATTGCCTGGGGTTGGGACAGAAACCCTGCTTTTCTTAGAGACAATTTTTCATCTAGAGTATAAAACAAGGAGTTATTGAAGGTCTTGCACAGCGGTGAAAGCTGGTGACAGATCTGGAGTCCTGTCAGTCAGTACAAAATGGATCAGGGAGGCCTCAGGCTGCTTTTGTTTTGGTGGTTGGCTCTGTTTCTTCTTCATACTCTATTTCAATGTAGGGACGTTTTCTCCTGGCTGGTCCTTTCAGGGGCGTTTTCCCTTTAGATTTGGAGTGAGAGGCTTTCTTCTCTACTTCTTCCTCCTCTTCCTGCTCCTCCTCACTGCTCGTCTCCAACTTATCCATGTCCTGAGAAAGAATTGAGTGTCAAGAGTGATGTCAGAGCAAGCTGTGCAACTAAACCTCCCCTTTCTCCAAAACTACCTCATGTATCCAAGTCCCTTCTATAATCCCTGGCTCCCAGCTGTCTGACCAGAGGAGCTGGGCTGGAGTGGATACAGTGCAGTCTGACTGTACCTTCCACAACTCTGATTTTGCTGGCTCTTACCCACCACCAGAGACACCAAAGGGTGGAGGTGACCAGACAGTTTACACCTGCTGCTTCACCTACCTCAAAGTCACTGAGCTCGCTGTCCTCTGCTTCCACAAACTCCCTTGTACCCACATCCTGCAAGAAACAGAGCTGGGACTGAGCACAACAGGGTCACAACTCATGGCAGAAGAGCCACCAAGGCCAAGCTTCCTGAGCTCTCCTGATGTCTTCTTCTCACCCTGCAGTGCCCCAGCTCAGCACCAGGGCAGGGCAGGAGTGATGGGGCTGTGGCTGAAAGCTTTACCTCATCCTCCTCCTCTTCCTGCTCTGCCTCCGACTCGCTCTCACTCTCTACCCCTTGCTGTTGTAGGGCTTTGTCAAAGGCGTGGATGGGGAAGTTGTAAATGTCTCCATACTGGAAAAAAAGTGGATTTTCTGTAAGTCACAGGAGGAAGGCACACTTCAAAAGCCCGCACACAGGCAGCATCAAACTAAAGTGTGCTCCCAGTGGGATCCTTACTGTGTCCTGCTTCAGTCTCTCCAGCAGTTCCTTCTCGATGGCATTATCCAGCTGAGCAGCAATCAGGGCTTTTTCCTAAAGGAGAGAGAGAGGAGCTGTCAGGCTGAGGCCCAGCAGCAGTGACAATTAGGGACAGAAGGAGCGTTGTTACCTCTCGCCTCTTCTCCCGCCTCTCAATCTTCCTGCGCAGCGGGACGAGCTTCCTCCTGCAGGGAACAACAGGCAGTTGGGAATCTGTCACCCTCTGGGGAGCAACAGCCAGCACTTTCCTCATCAGAAACGTGGCTGCAACTCGTGTAAGTGTCCTGGGGGGCACCAGTGCCCACTGGGGGTGTCCCTTACTGTCTCTTGAGGGTCAGCTTGCGGATGCGGATCAGGTACTGGGTGATCTTGGTGAACCTCTGCTTGCACTTGTGCCGGACAAACCGCGGCCAGTAGATGAGGTTCTCGTCAATCTGCTCCAGAGCCTTCTCGTAGTTCTTGTTTAGCAGGACCTGGGGGGGACAGGGGGAGAGCTGAGTTACACAGCAGGGACATCTGGGAGCAGTCACATCGCTCCTGGAATCACTGAGCTTGGAAAAGGCCTCCCAGACCATCGAGTCCAAGCTGTGTCCGATCCCCACCTTGGCACTGAGTCGTTCTTGGACACCTCCAGGGATGGGGACTCCACCACCTCCCTGGGCAGCCCCTTCCAGTGTTTAACCACTCTTTCCAGGAAGAAATTCCTCCTGATGTCCAACCTGAACCTCCCCTGGCACAGCTTGAGGCCATGTCCTCTTGTTGTGGGGACACCTGCCCCTCAGTAAAGGCCATCAGAGCCCCTCTGTGACCCCTCTGCTGCCCTGAGCTCACCCGCTCCCAGAGGCGCCGCGGAAACGCCGCCCGCTCGATCGTCTTCATGTACAGGTAACACCGACCTGGGAACAGGGAACACCATCCCACTGAGCACATCCCAGAGCCAGGGTGCCCTCAGGCAGGGGCCCCTCACCCCCTCCCCACCCACGGGCTCCCTGCAGCTGCCAGAGCACAGGAACATCCAGGTGGGAAAGACGAGTCCACCCTGTGCCCCATCCCCGCCTCGTCACCAGCCCAGAGTGCCACGTCCAGTCATTCCTTAGACACCTCCAGGGATGGGGACTCCACCACCTCCCTGGGCAACCCTTTTCCATGAGGAAATCCCTCCTGGCGTCCCGGGAGAGGGGATCCCACCTTTCTCCTCGCGGATGGTGGCGTACTGGCTGTTGGCCAGCGGGCAGGACGAGCGGTTGCACAGCCCCGTCAGGTTGTACTCGTTGCGACAGAAGTTCTGGGTTTTGGTGCTGGAAAAGGGGGTGAGAGGGAATTAATTAAGTAGGGAAGGGCAGGAACACCCCACTGCCCACCTGCCCCTTGCAGCCTCTGTGTGGCCGTGGTGGCACAGGGGGGACATGCCGAGGTTTGAGGGGCACCCGAGTGTGTCCCTCCCACAGCCCCCCCCGCGGGCTCAGCCCACCCTGTGCCCCCCAAAAACTCACCTCATCTTGTAGGAGCAGAACTGCCTGTTCCCCAGCATGCTCCAGACAATCTGCGGGGACAAACAGCGGGTGACACACCCCGGCACCCCTCACCCGGCCCCCCCGGCCCTCCTCCCTGCTCCAGCATCCCCCGGGGCGGCTCTGTCAGGGGGAACCCCACAAACATTGGGCACCCCACTGGCAGGGCAGGGTGCGGAGCCACAGCGGGCGCAGGCACAGCACATCTGCTGCTGCCGAACCCCCATTTGCATCCCCATCTGTCACCCCCGGTGTCGGGGACAGGGGACACCCCGCTCCCCTCCCTCCCCGCCGGCCACGTGGGGCGGAGGCGCGGCCGGGCCGAAGAGAAGGGACGGGCGGGCTCACATCGTCCGAGTGCATGGTGGCGGTGGCGGCGACAGCGACGGCGGTGACAGCGAAGCGGCGGCGGTGCCAGGGACGGGGACAGCGGTGCCAGGGACGGGGACAGCGGTGCCGGCCCACACGGTCAGGGCGCCGCCATTACCGGAACCGGAAGTGACAGCGGAAGGGAGGGCGGGGCCCCTGTAATGGCGGCGGCCCCTCAGGGGCGGTGATGGAATAAAACCGTGGCACTAACACAGCCCTGAGAGGCCGCGGGGGCGCTGGATGAGCCCTGCCCGGGGTGTTCTCCATGGCAGACCCGGCCGGGCGCTGGGCGCCTCCCGCTCAGTGGTTGTGGAGCCGTGAGGGTGAATGTTTGCGCTGTGGAAGCCGTGAGGGAAAGGGCAGATTCTGGGGGAAAGTGTCCCCTCACAGCTGCCAAGAATCCCCTCGTCCCCTCCAGCAGCACATGAAATATATCTATCTATCTATCTATTTAGCAGCACTGGCAGCACGTGAAATATATCTATCTATACTTCTATCTATATTTCTATCTATGTGCATATATATGTATAATATATATAGTATAATATATATATGTATAATATATATACCTACATATATCTATGTATATGTATATATGTATGTATAGATATATATATATGGGGGGGTGTACATACATGCGTTTGTATATATATGGGTATATACATATATATTTGTATATATATATAAATAACATTAATCACGAGTGACCTAAGTGGCTTTTTTTCTGTACGAGTCTAAACCTTATTTCCACCTCAGTTTTTCTTAAAAGAATTCTCCAAACAAGTGAATTCGTTTAATGTACGTTGGGAAGGACACACAGGCAGCTCTGAGCAGCACAGGAACAGCACGACACATCAAGCTACAGCAAAAAGAAATGGATGTTTTTTTAGTGTCTCCAGAGGAGCATGGAGCAGTGACATTACAGTGACATCTTCATGGGCGGTGGCACAGATGGATTGTGCCCTGTTGTTACAGAATAGCTTCATCTTGGGGTTTAGAGCAGGATCTGGAGGAGACAAATCTCCCAGAGCTGATTTCATTTTATTTTTTTCCCCCTCCATTTTCTTTCAGGAACAGTCAGTGCTTTAAAGACATTCTCAAAGCCACAAGACAGTGGGAGAGATGTTGATGTTCTCCTCTGGCACGGGCACAATGCTGTTCTCCAGGACAGGTTGACATACACTGCTCACAGATCTGTGTTTGTAGCCGTAATATTGGTTTTAAAGCAGGGCACACATCCTGGCACTGGCTATTCCACATTTTCCTCCTCCACGTCACTGTCCTCCGAGAGAGGGAATTCCCGCAGGGGTTTCTGCCCAGTGTAGCTTTTGGGTTGCATGGGGCACTCCTGGCTCAGGATTGCCTGGGGGGAGGAGAGGAGAAATCCTGCTTTGGTAAAAATCGTGATTCATTTGAACACTTAACAGGAGTTACCAACTTCTCCCCAGGGAAAACAAGTTAAGGGAACTTAATACGAGTTAAGGGAAGGACCCTCTAAACTCACCTGGTTTTATCTGAGATTTTTGTCCCTTTTTGAGGGCAGAGCGGCGCCCAAACCAGAAGATGCAATCCCCAGCAAATTTATTCTTGTCTCCCCCAAATCTCTGGGTTGTGAACCCCCTCTACTCCAATAAAACCCCCCTGAACTGACCATCTTCTCCTCCTTGGCAGGGGGGCTGCGCAGGCACCAGCAGAGCGGGGCGTAGGCCAGGTTGGTCACTCCGATGATGACCATGAGCCAGGGGAAGCCGATGGCTCCGACAATCGCCCCACCCATGGAGGGACCTGCAAATTGAAACATTGAAAAGGGATAAAAATCCCAGAGAGCAGGAGGTTTATCTGGTTTGGAGGGGACCTGCAAATTGAAACGTTGAAAAGGGATAAAAATCCCAGAGAGCGGGAGGTTTGTCTGGTTTGGAGGGGACCTGTGGTGGACTTGGTGGTTGTGTGGAGGAAAGGGAGTGATAACCAGAGTGAGACACACACTGAGCAGTCCCCCTGTGAGTAAGAGCTCCCTCACTGCCATGAGTGTAGATAATCCAAATAATAATAATCCAAATAATAATAATCAAAAAATCCAGGAGATAATCCAAATAATAATAATTACTATTAACTTACCATGTTGTTCGAATACTACAAATCAGCAAGTATTTCATATTAAAAAAAAAAAACAACAACAAAAAAACAACAAAATCATGGCAAAGAATGGTTAAAAAGTTTCTAGGTTTGTTTGGTTTTTTTTAAAAAAGGAGAAAAGAAGAGCATCTACCAACAGCAAAGCCCATGCAAAAGGCCACGTCAGCGATGGCGTAGACGGTGCCGTAGACGGAGGTGTGGCGCAGGTCCACCAGGTAACCCATGATGGGCATCATGGAGGAGTCCACCATTCCTGCCCGGAGCAAGGAGAGGCTGGTCAGGCACTGCTGCCCCTGGGGAGAGAGCCTTGGAGCAGCCTGAGCACCCCTGGCTTACCTATGGCAAAGCCCAGCTTACCTATGGCAAAGCCCAGCCCAGCGTTGGGGCCGATCAGCCCGTAAATGTTTGTGGCCAGAGGTACCTTGGAGAGGAGAGACATGGGGTAGATCAGGGAATCATGGAATGGTTTGGGCTGGGAGGGACCTTAAAGCTCATCCAGTTCCACCCCCTGCCATGGGCAGGGACACCTCCCACTAGCCCGGGTTGTTCCAGCCTGGCCTTGGGCACTTCCCAGGGATCCAGGGGCAGCCACAGCTTCTCTGGGCAACCTGTGCCAGGGCCTCCCCACCCTCACAGGGCAGAATTTCTTCCTACTCTCTGATCTGAACCTCCTCTCTGTCAGTAAGAGGCCATTCCCCCTCGCCCTGGCCCTTGTAAAGAGTCTCTCCCCATCTTTCCTTTCAGCTCCTTCAGGCACTGGAGGGCCACAATTTGGTCACCAGGCTCACCAACCCCAACTCTCTCAGCCTTAAGACCTGCAAAAGCCTGCTCAGACCTCCAAAACCGACACACCGGTGCAACCAGTGCCCATCTTCCCGTGCCAGGGCCAGAGCCCAGCTCTGGAGAGCTGGAGAGGCCTCGGATTCCCCCTCAGGTACTCACACAGAGGAGGCTGATTCCCACCACAGCCATCCCGATCATGGAGCACAGCCACCTGCAGCGGGGGGAGAGGGCAGGAGTTCTCAGCCTGCACGGCACCACGGGCGTAATTCCCGCTGAAATTCCAGCCAGGATGGGCTGGGCTGAGCCAAAACCTCCGGTGTCCCACTCACCGGCCCATCCTGCTGGCCAGGATCCCAAAGAGGTTGGTGCCAACGAGGTAGGATATGCTGGCGGGGAGGAAAGCCAGCCCTGGGAGAGGGAAGGAATTAAACACAGTGTGTCACCCCCAAGAAAATACAGAAAAACACAAGAAAATTTGCACAATTTTCATTCCCTCGCTGGGAGAATGTCACGAGCCAGCCAAGGCACCTGAGCATCCTCCTGTCATAGTTTCTCCCTCCTCCACCTTTCCCCCTTTGCCTTCTGCTTTTTCATTTGCTAAATAAAGAGGAATAAAACAACTGCTTAAGTAAAAAGCTCGGGGATCATTATGCAGCTCAAAATTAAATATTTGCTCTGCCTGCTGCTTTACCAGTTGTTTATTTTTCATATACTCTCCCGCTGACTATAAATAAAACTGATCAGCTCCGTTTCCCTGGGACAACTTCCTTATTGGAACGCACTGATTTGTGTTTAATTTTCTCTCCTCTCCCTAAGAGCTACAGAACATGGTTAATCCTGCAGGTTTAGTCCAAGCTCTTCTGGGTTGTTTTCCCAGAGTTTATGGGAGTGGGTGAACTGAAGGAGATAAACAGAGAAGGCTCCTGGGCTCAGAACAGCACGTGAGGTGGTGGTTTGTTGTTGGACTGTGTCTAAATCCAAACTGCTCTCAAATCTCAGGTACTCGAACATCTTAGGGAATGTATTTGGGATTTTCTTTGCTGGCTGCTGACCTCTGGGCACTCTAAGTCACCTCAAAGGTTCCCCTGGGGCTCAGTGGTGATGGGGCAGCCCTGAGTTTTTTCCCCTGAGTTCTGCCCCTTCCTCCTGCTGCCAGAATCTTTGGGTGCTGCTCTCCCCTCACCCATCCTTGCTCAAAAGAAGCATCATCTGCTTTTACTGGATGGATGTTCCTGCCTGCCCAGAGGATAATTCGATCAGGAGCAATCTCACCCCCCCCTGCTCCCAGCCTACAATCCAATTTGGGATCTAAGTGCAGCCCGGGGCACCCCCGGGGTCATTCCTCCGCCAATTGGGTTTTATAACCATTAGTTTTTACTTGTGCAGCAAACACAGGCGGTGTTATCTCCACATCCCATTTTCCAGGCAGCTGGTAACCAGCAGGTCCTGCCCTGCCCTGCCTGGGACACCCTGAGTGGCCTCGTTTCACTCGGAGCAGCCCCTGCAAAGCCCATCTGGCCTCCACCACTGCAGCCCAGCACGAGCCCATTATCCACCCTGCAGAAGATGGGCTTCCACAGGCTTCCCAAACAGCCTCTCCTCCCCGTTATTGCCCTTGTGGGGAGCCTGGTTCCGTGCAATTTTTTCAATAACAGAGCAAAGCACATCGTGCAGCCGCCGCTGAGGAATTTCCAGCTGGAATTGGAGCGAAGCACAGCCCGGGATCTCTGCCCCCCCACGTGTGAGGTCATATGTTTTCTTCTTTTTTTTTTTGTTGGAACGATATAAAAGACATTTCAATCCAGCTCACAGTGCCCGAGCAGGACGTGGTTCTTTGATCCAAGAAAAAACTGGACGTGGCACTCGGTGCTCCGGTCTGGTTGACACGGCGGGGACGGGTCACGGGTTGGACTCGGTGACCTGGGAGGTCTTTCCCAAGTGATCCCGTGATTCTAAACTCTCCCAAGGCTCAGGAGAGGAGGCTGCAAAGCACGAGACCTACCGAGCTGCCACTGCGGGGAGCACATGGTCTGCATCATCCAGATGGGCAGGGTGGGCTCCAGCATGGCCACCCCCATGTTGGAGAAGCAGAGGGCTCCTGGGGGGGAGAAAAGGCAGAAACGCTCCATTTGAGCCTTTACTTTTGCTGCTGTTTCAAGCAGGGAGTCTTTACTCAGGGGGGCACAGCGTGTGCCAGCCTCCACCTTTACCTGCAG